TCTCCCTAATGCTCCTCAGCCTCTCCACTGCCTCCTTCAGGTCAGCCACAAGGCTGAATTAATCATTCACTCAGCCGCATCAGCCGCAGGTGTTTTTGCTGTCACCCTGTACTGCAAAGGCCAGGCTCTGGCATTTGCTGCAACCAGAGACCTGTGCACTTGCATGTTTGTGTGGGGCCTCTGTGTGGGTCTCCACACTTTTCTTGACAACAGCCTTCCACTGGGGTGCAACCATGGCAAACCAGCAGCAGGCTGGCTAGTACTCTCTACAGTAGCTTCTTCACTAAAATTTTAAGTTGTGGGAAGGAAAGGGACAGGAGAGACAGGAAGAGAAAGGGACGTATGAAAGGAAGGAGAGGATCCTACCCCCACTCCTTTGTGCCCCAGTTGAACTGCCTTGCACAAACTGCCTGCACTATCTGCCAAGCCAGTCCAGTTCATAGCGCTCCCTAGGGGCTGCTTTTATACAGTGAAGGGGTGGCTGCCTCGGCGAGTGACTACAAAATGGTGGCGACGCCCGATTTAAATGGCCCATCCCTGGCCTTGCTGGCTCCGCCTATGCCTTGTCAGGGCTGCCGGGTCCTGGCAGCTCCCTCTCAATGGCCTCGATCCGGGATACTACTGATGGACTGGGGCCATACCAGGGCAGGGACAAAGGGACTGCAGCCCATGAATAACCCATAGTGAAGCACAGAAAATAAGTAAGATTCAAAAAACAGAGAAAAAAAAATCAGTAAAAAGCAAGGAGCAGCAGAAAGTAACAATTGTGCGCTGACCACACGTCCTGCACTGCCTGCTGCCTCACCAAAGGGCTAGGCCTAAGCTGAGTGTAATGTGCTGAAAAAACGAGCAGAGTTGAGGCTAGGAAAGGGGCAACAACATATACTGGACTGAAGATAAACCTGGCAAAGGGGGAGTAAATGTTTTTCTCTAGCTGTTTTATTGTTTGTCTACTTTGTTTTTGGTACCTGAATCCATAAATAAAAAACAAACACATTAGTTAGCAATAAATAAAGCGAACTTGCTGGAATCAAAACTTTTGCCCCTGGTGACTGATACACTCGTTCATCATATTATTTGAACCAAAATATTTTTTATCTGAGGGTTGGATGAAATTCATATGGTACTCAAACTGATCTGCTTATTCTTGGACCTGTGCAAAGGCCACTTTTTGTTTTGAACTTTTTTGTTCAACTATTAGTTGGTCCCTCATGTAATTTCACTTGCCATGTTCAGTTTATTTCCACTCACTGCCACCAATAACTTAATATACTGCTGAGTGTCTTGTTCAACTTACGCAAGTGAATATATGTGGGATATACAGATGTCCTTCACTATGATGGGCCTCTTAAACAACCTCCGAAGAGAAGATGAATGTTTGAGAGAGAATGACACTATGAGGCCAGTAAAATCAATGAACTCTTTATTTTATTTAATTTCCAAGATGACCACCATCTGTTACTCCAAATGAAAAGCCAATACAGACACACAGAAACACAACAGAATTTCCAAGGGAACTGCAGTGAAGTACATGATGGCAGAACTTTATGTAAGTACAAAATATGGAGAATTCATAAATAAATAAATAAAGGTTGTCTTTTGTACAATCAGGAACTTCATAGATATACCTTGATCTCCAAATCAGTTTTACACAGCAGGTAGTTTTTAGAATTCATAATATTGGATACTTGCCTAGAGAGGGTTATATATTCATACATAAGAAACGCAGGCACTGCAAAAATACAATTAGGGTGAAAATCTATATCGACCTTTACAGTAAATCTTACACAGTACTGATGTAATCCTCTCCCAAATAAATATTGTAAACTGCAGCAGATATATTACTTATCCCCTCTTCAATAGCTAGAACTTGAATGAGATGAATACTTACCTCATACATAGTTAGATGAAGGAGGTAGAAATCCTTGAAACCTGCTGAACTCTTGACCTCTGAAATTCTTATTTGTTTTCTTGGATGTACATTTTTTGCAGTGTTGTAATTCATATAAATGATGAATGCAGCTAATCTGTACATAGAGCTGTTTTGATATCAAACTCCAAAGCCAGTAAAAAAATAAATGGCAGAGAAGATATGTCACATCTGTTATTGCTTTCAATATTACAGAAAATAGAAGAAAAATACTGACACTTTCTAAACAATCTCTGAAGATCCCTCTTTATTATGAAAGTAAACATTGGGAAAATAAGTGTTCCTTACAAGGAAAATCAAAATGGTCTTAAAAGTAGAGGGAAAAAAAACACCACAACCCTGGATATCTCAGGGGAATTATTTCTAACTGTAGAATCTTACTACATCCCCTGTCCTCTCTCTCTTAAAGCAAGAAGTAACATACTTAAAAAACAAACAAACAAACGAACATTGAACTTCAGGGAACTGTTTCAGGAAATGTACTTGCATACATTACAGATACTTGTCTCAGCCCAGTGGTTGTATCTTTGTTTTCTTGTGATTAAGAAAATTTCCACACTGAGCCTTAGTGCAGTTTAGCTTAAAAGCTTTCTTTCTTTTTTGTTTGTTTGTTTGTTTGTATTCAGTCCTCCTATATAATAATTAAAAATGACCTTTAGAAAGGGAACATAAATACTCTCTTTTTTTGTCATTTTTGAAGTTTGTATTCAACACTTGTATATACTTTAATGGGCATTTTAAAAATGAATACTGCTAAGGTGCATTTTGTACTAGAAAAATTTCCTTCACATACTACAAATTAGTTAACTAAAAACAAGTATCATTGTTTTAATTTCCTGGATACAGTTGTAAGAACCCTTCAATATTTACTAGCTGAAAGTACTTCATAATATTCCATGTGTGACTCTTCCCTTCTGTGTGTTCTCATAGCAAGAAATAGAATGCTTACTGTACTACCTGATAGGTGTCTTCTAGACTAACGTAAAACTTGAAATGTCAAACTGCAAGTAGACAGAATCTAGTGAGTAAAGTGAAACAAATGTATTATGGATAATGTCACTGACAAAACTGGTTTTGATGCTGACAAGAAGCTGCAGAAGGTTTACTGAAGCAGATTCCTGTTTCCAAAAATTTGTATTCAATGCTCTTGACAAAGAATAGGTCATTATTCATGGTGAAAATATAAACGCTAGTAGTAGGTTAACAATATTATGAAAGGTTCTATCTTGATGGCACATGAAGGTAAAGGCAGAAAATATTGTTTCCAAGTTATCCATTCTCTTCTTAGGACAATACAAACAACATAGTTCCCATCGTAACCTTTTCGTACCAGAAACTTCCTCTAAGAAAAGCAGGGTAGCATCTACCAATGCTCTATAAGAGCAATGCTCTTCAAGAGTAATTGAATTCATCTACCTGGACTCATGCAAACCATTTGACGTCCAACACAATATCCTTGTTTCTAAATTGGAGAGACATGGATTTGACAGATGGACAAAGAAAAATGAACTGCCCAGTGTAGGAGAAAATCAGGGTTGAGACCAGCTAAGAAACCTAAAGGAGCACAAGTCCATGGGGCCTGATGAGATACATTTGCGGGTCCTGAGAGAACAGCAGATGTAGTTGATAAGTCACTATCCACCGTATTTGAGAAGTCGTGGCAGTCTGGTGAAATTCCCACTGACTGGAAGAGGGGAAACATAACCCCCATTTTTAAAAAGAGAAAAAAGAAAGACTTGGGGAACTGCAGGTCAGTCTGTCTCACCTCTGCACCTGGCAAGATCACGGAGCAGTTTCTCCTGGAAGCTATGCTAAGGCAAATGGAAAATGACCACTTGGTGGGTAAGGAATTGGCTGGATGGTCACAGTCAAAGGGTTGTGGTCATCAGCTCAATGTCCAGGTGAACAGTGATGAGTGCTGTTCTTCAGGGGTCGGTATTGGGACCAGCACTGTTTAAAATTTTTGTCCTTGACATGGACAGTGGGTCTGATTGCAGCCTTTACAGGTTTGCCAATGACACCAACCTGTGTGGTGCAGTCAACATGCTGGAGGGAAGGGATGGCAGCCAGAGGGACCTTGACAGGCATGAAAGGTGGACCTGTGGAAAACCTCATGAAGTTCAACAAGGCCAAGTGCAAGGTCCTTCATCTGGGTCAGGACAATCCCAAGCACAAATACAGGCTGGGCAGTGAATGGATTGAGAGCAGCCCTGAGGAGGGCTTAGACTGATGAGAAGCTTAAGATGAGCCAATAATGTGTGCTTACAGCCCAGAAAGTCAACCACATCCTGGGCTGCATCAAAAGAAGTGTGGTCAGTAGGTCAAGAGAGGTGATTCTCCATCTTTATTCTGCTCTCCTGAGACCCCACATGGAGTACTGTGTTTGCCTCTGCAGCCACCAGAACAAGAAGTATGTGGATGTACTAGTGTGAGTCCAGAGGAGGGCCACGAAGATGGTCAGAGTACTGGAACACCTCTCCTATCTTCACAGAGGCTGAGGGAGTTGTAGTTGTTCAGCCTGGAGAAGAGAAGGCTCCAGAGAGACCCTATAGTGACCCTCCAGTACCTAAAGGTGGCCTGCAAGAAAGCAGGAGAGGGACACTTTTTGTCATGAGTTACATTACTCCTTACAAGGAGTAATGGTTTTAAACTGAAAGAGGGTATATTTAGATTCGATATTTGGAAGAAATTCTTTACTTGGTGAGGCACTGGACCAGGTTGCTCAGAGAGGCTGTGGATGCCCCATCCCTGCAAGTGTTTAAGGCAAGGTTGGAGCAACCTGGTCTAGTGGGAGGTGTCCCTGCCTGTGTCAGGTGGGTTGGAATTAGATGATCTTTAAGGGCTCTTCCAATTCAAACTCTGTTCTCCCACGTGCCTGGTGACAGAACGAGGGGGAATGGGCTTAAGTTGCGCCAGGGGAGTTTTAGGTTGGATCTTAGGAAGAACTTCTTTACTGAAAGGGTTGTTAGACGTTGGAACAGGCTGCCCAGGGAGTTGGTGGAGTCACCATCCCTGTAAGTCTTTAAAAGACGTTTAGATGTAGAGCTTAGGGGTATGGTTTAGTGGGGACTGTTAGTGGTCAGTAGTGGTCAGAGGTTGGACTCGATGATCTTGAGGTCTCTTCCAACCTAGAAATTCTGTGATTCTGTGATTCTGTATGTATTGATGTACTAAGGAAGGTAAGGAAGCCAGTGAATAGGGAATGGAGCAGGACTGATTACATTCAGGAGTTCATGATATGTGTGCAAGTCTTTGCTATTTAGCTCTTTTTTAATCAATGTAAAGTAATCCAATGGTTTCTTACGGCTTTTCCTCTTCCCTATAACATCACAAATGAAGACTAATCATGCATACTGATATACTTGCCTCTCATGTGCTTATTATATGTTTAGCTCTATTATTGTAGTTCACAGGAATAACCTGCACATTCAAATAAACTGAATAGCAGTTTTAATAGGTCAATTTAATGACTTTATATTCTTTATATTACAAACAAGTTATATTTTTTTCTAGAATATTATATATTACTGAATGCTCTACTATAAAACTAGCTGAGGTTCAGGGAAGAAAATTCTTTATGTTAAAAACTGAAAGTGAATGAGATTAGGGTCTATATTTCACTAGGCCTAATAAGAAGTGATTGTAGTCACATACTATTTATCACATAGACAGGCCAAGCACTGAGAGGTAGAGTTCATTAAAAGAGGTTAGTAGAAACAAAATCTCCTGAATCTTCAGGCCAGTGCCATACTGAAGATGATTTTGAATACCTTTTTTCTTTCCATTCTTAATAAATCTCGATTGATTAATTTATTGAGGAGATATTAGGTTTGATTTCTGGCTGTATTGATTGTAGTCTTAAGAAGGAAAGAGTTGTCTTTATAGTCTTCAAATTCTTCAGAAACATACATACACATAAAAGAACACAATAGTTGACTGATGAATTTGACTTGTGGTCCATTTATTTTCATATCCTCTCTCCAGAAAATGGATGCTTAATGTGGCGAAATGTCTTGCACTTATTCAAATTTGGGTTTTTGTGAAAATTTGATACTAGTAAAATAAAAGTTTAATTCCTGAGATGTGCTATATTATTTGTTGCTTTCAAACCTCTTGTTTAATTGCCACTGTACCTCCCAGATTTAAATTTTGAAAGAACTTAAACTATGGTTGCAATGAGACCTACAGACTAATTACACATTGAGCATTAAAATATTTGTTTTTCATCAGTTTTCAATTCTCAATTTTCATTTTCACTTAGTGACACTTAGTCCATCTGTTACATAACAGGGAGAACAGAAGCCACTTATTCATTTCTCCCACATTTATGCTATATGCTTTTAACATCCCTTTCTTTGTAAGATAAGAACTCATATTCCTACACAGATAGATGAATTTTCCAAAAATCTTACTCAGTCTCATTTTCTTCTCTGAACTTCAAAAATATTTTTGGATAGATCAATCTGCAGTATATGTGAATTATAGAATGATATAATCTAGAGAAGGTTTGTCACTGATTTACTTATTCCTTTATGAATCCTACTTCTTTTATAGCATTAAAATATACTTGAAGAAATCTTTGTTTTGTGAAGTTTGTTTCTGTGAGTTTCTATAGCTAGTTTATATTCTGTAATGACACAACTGTTCTAAGTTTAGATATTAATTTTAATAACATTAATGTTATCAATTGTAGGCATATTTGTCAAGGAACTGATCATTTACTTAGTTTGTTTGAATTCTTTAGTCTGTTCTACCTAAATCCTTTTTTTTTCTGGACTTCATAAGTATATTTTACATCCTGCTGCTGCTTACAGATACAGCTCTTTAGCTGTTTCTTTCTAGTACATTAATAGGTCAAGGATTTTTTTTTGTTTGTTTTGACGTGTTTGTTTTGTTTTGTTTGTTGATTTATCACTTTATTTAAAAGCCTTGATGTCTTAACGTCAGCGCTACTACACTACTGCTTTAATAGGTTTTCTTCTCACTTTTCTGGTAATTAGTCTGTTGTAGTGTCTCAGGTTTCAACCATGAACACTTGTTTAGAGAATGATAATCAGATGGTGGTCATGGGTAACAGTGTCTTATTTAATAAAGGTCAAACCTTCCCATGGAATGATTTAACTTCCAACCTTGAATTCCTTTCATTTGAGGCTGAGCTGTACTTTTTGTAAAAGGGAAGAATGTGTACAAATGAGGTGCTTTACACCCACAGTGGAAGCAGAATTGTTGAAGTCATATATATCTTGTTGTTAACATGCCACAGTCATGAGATGTCATTGCCTGTTACACAGAACTGTAAAATTAAATAACAAAAAGGTCCTGAACTTGAAATCAAGAAGCAGAAAGGGGAAATGATAAATAATAATAATAATAATAATAATAATAATAATAATAATAAAATGTAACATGGGAAATGAAAGAGTAAGAACAAAGTAAACTGTTTTGAATTTTGTCGGGGGACACCAGTAGCTTTTTGCATCAGAATTAGCGTTTCAAAAAAAATCTGGATTTAAAAATAAAGAAAAACCTAAAATGTATGTCTTTTAAAAGTTTTAATGGAAATTATACTACAATTATGTTTTATTCTGTGTATTATAAAAGAAGTTTAGATAGAGAGAATGGGGAATTAAAGAAAACAAAATGTATTGTCTTCTGCGACTATTATAGGAATATGCAGCCCCCATAGTAGCATACAGACCTCCTCTGTAGGTACCAATGTTTTAATCTGATGTGTGAACTTCGTGCCTCAGAATGATCCAGCAATCTTTTACTGGGTCTGCCTCAGATGGAGTTAATTTTCTTCACAGCAGCCTCAATGATGCATTCCTCTGCTTAAAAAGAGAGCAACATTGAGGGAAATTATTACCAGTGGTTAAACTGTATATATGAGCACCATACAAACTTTTCAGACAAATTCACTGCCTACAGAAGGTACTATTTCTTATTCAGGAATATAAATAAGCACCAGGTGTTACTTAAACATAATTGAAGATGAATAAAGATGAGCTGCAAGTATAGATTTATTCTTCAAGCAGATTTTAGCTAAGATTTTGGCATTGCTATGTAAAGGGCAATTCCAAGACTTTCACATACTTCTTTCTTAGTATAGGAGGGATTATCCCATGGAAAATTCCACTGACTGCAGAGGGGGGTTATATTACTAGAGACAGAATAGGTACTTCACTTCTAGGTAGTGAAAATAAAGTGGATCCTGCTTTCAGATGTCTCATGCTATACTAGCACATAAGAAATCTGGAATTTCCTCCTCTGTTGAACAGAGTGTTACTTGCTGAGAAGAGAAAGCAGGGAATGAGAACCTATTTACATTTGTTTGCTGAAGAGTTCTACTGAAAGTCTGAAAATCTTGATCTACATTACAAAAACGTAACTAGTTTATGGATTGAAAGGCTACATTTTGGTTGTGTAGCACTAAGTACATAAACTTCAGTTGAAGTGCCTGTTATCTAAACCTTTTTATCAGACTAAGCTGTATTCGTATCTTTGTGAAATGGCATTTCATTGTGCCATAGAGAATTAGCATCACATTTAAATTTATTGAGTGATTTTTCTTCAATGAAAAATAAATACATCCGCCTCACAATAAAGTTTTGCCAGTTGGGTTCATACACAGTATTGAGTAGAAATAGAAAACATCATTATACTGTTGTCAATACAGAACTTAAAAGGTTCACTCAAGAGGATGAAGAACCCATTTAAAAAGCTCTGTAGAGGGCTGAATATGGCCATGATATTCAATGCAATGTTCCACATAGTTGCTATTTGATTATGCGCCTCAGAGGGGTGTATTATTTTGGGCAGTATTAAAGCCGTCTGCTGGTCTCTGTCCTCTAATATAATATATACTTACATAATAGAATTTCTACCAAAACAAGGAAGGAAGGAAGGAAGGAAGGAAGGAAGGAAGGAAGGAAGGAAGGAAGGAAGGAAGGAAGAAGGAAGGAAGGAAGGAAGGAAACTAGGAGAGTAAAATGAAAGACTTTTGTGCAGAAATCAGAAAGTAAGGAAAAATTACTGAAAATAGTTTCAAAGGCATTGTCAGTCTCCTGGATCTCTTTTAATGAAAAAGTAGAAGACTTCAGAAGTATAGAACTAAGAAAAATGATAAAATAGAATATGCATCATCATGATTTCAGAACTAAAAAAGATTTTAAAGCTCATCATCTGTGAATGACAGAAGACTGTATGCAGAATTCCTGCATACAAAACACAAAATCTGGCAGATTTATTTCTGGTCTGTAGTTTAATGAACATGTGAGGTCATCATACAGTTGAGGATAAAGATAATGATTTAATAGATGCCACTGACCTTCGAAAAATTTTGTTTCAATATCCAATGTCTACCTTATTTCTGGTAACTTCTGTCTACTATCAGAAGTCATAGAATCATGGAATCATTAGGGTTGGAAAAAATGTCCAAGGTTGCCTGGTCCAACCATCACCCTACTACAAATATCATCCACTAAACCATGTCCCTAAGCACCAAGTCCACCCTTTCCTTAAACAACTCCAGGGACAGTGATTCCACCATCTCCCTTGACAACCTGTTACAAAGCCTGACTACACTTTCTGAGAAGAAATATCTCCTAATTTCCAACCTAAACCTCCCCTGGTGCAACTTGAGGCCATTCTCTCTAGTCCTGTCACTAGTTACCTGTGAGAAGAGGCTGACCCCCAGCTCCCCACCATTTCTTTTCAGGCAGTTGTAGAGAGCAATAAGATCTCCCCTGAGCCTGCTTTTCTCCAGACTAAACAGCCCCTGGAACCTCCTGTGATTCAGTGTGTGCCCATTTTTTCTCATTCTGTCAATGGGCACAACAGAAAAGAGACCAGCTCCATCCTCTTAACACTGAAGCAAAGCATTCATGATAAAGCTTGCCTATAGATAAGTAAATTAGTAAAGTAAAAAAGTCTTTGAATTCTGCAATTGACAACCATGGTACATGAAAGTACGCCAGCACTTCTGTACTGCATAACTTAATATATCTGCAGGTCTTTATAACTAAACAGGAAATTAGATAGGTACTAAAGTTATCACAGACCTGCTGGTGGATTTGCCTTTTTAACAGTGGTCTGTGTTAGGCATTTACCAAGCGACAAACTGCTGTGATTCAAAATCATGTAAGTACTCATAGAGAACAAACTAACCACAGGCCTTTGCATTTTGGTAGGACAGAAGCATCTTTGAAAATTGTAGTACTCCTGTAAAAAACAACTACCATTATTACTGCTGGCAAAGTGTTTTAGGCTTCAAACTCTGCTGTGGAAGACAAAATGCATCTGACAAAACAGGTGAAACAGCAAGTTAATAACATGTACATATGTATTTCAGAAAATATCTAGGTATGAGAATGACCCTTTTCATTTGAGCTCTGTCTGTACATTTTTAGAAATTTTCCCTTTCTGGTATTCCTGCTACAGGCCTCGTCTTGTCAGGAGTCACTTAATATGAATCAAAGAATTTTGTCTTAATTCTTGAAACGGAATTGAAGTAATAGAAAAATGCTACTCAAATGGTTGAATGACTGAAATCTGAAAACCCATTTATACAAAAATCTTGTGTTAAGGCCTGCTTGGATTCTGCATCATTTTGTCACATGTCATAAGGATAGTCATACCATGTTGGACCAAAGACCTAGTCATCTCATTATCTAACCTTTCTAAGTAGCCTAGCCCAGCAGCAAGATATAAAAGCTTCCTTCCTAGTACTTATTAACAGTCTTACTGAGAAGTGGAAAACAAAAACAAAACAAACAAAAAAACGTTTTTGACAAATTCATAAAACAAAGAAAAACATGGAGGAACTTACAGTTCATGAAGTATTGTATAAAGGCTTGTATTGGTTCTTTTTTCATCCTTCAAACAATTTTTCAAATAAATAAAAGAACAGGTACAGTCATCCAGTTAATAAATAACATAAACATATGTATTTAATAAAGAGAATATATATATTATGAATTCTATTACATTATATATATATATATATATACATACATATATAAGCCTTGTTGCTCAATGACTTGTACCGTGTCTTAAATCTACTGTCAGCTTCTTCAACCATTTTATGAAGAGAGAAATGTAGTTGTTTTTCCCTGTTGCATTATTTATTTTTTTTTTTACCCTATGGTCCTTATCTATGTAAGATCCAATTTAGCTACATATCTTTATGAGATGTCAGGACTACACTTCTATCCTATAAGACAGAATTTATCTAGTAATTTACAGGAAAGTCTTTATCCATTATGCTTACTTCACACCTGTGGAATTCTTAACCCCTTTCAGTGTTGCACAAACACAACAGTCCTTTTCAGTATCTGTTTACCATATTTGAGTTTATGCTTTCCTTTCTCATAGTAGATCTGTGGGTTTGACATTGGCCATATCATGTATAGTTGGGTTTTTGTTGTTCTTGTTTGTTTGCCGTTCTTTCCTGCCATTAAAATTGAATTTGTTCAATATTCAATTCAAATTATTAAATTTCAAATTTCAATTTTAATTTATTCAAATTCAAGTTACATGACTTCTGCTTTTGTTGTTGTTGTTGTTGTTGTTTCCTCCTTCCATAAAGAAGCACGAAGACATTCCACTAATACCCTTTAAAATATCTTTCTTCTTTTTATAAGTTATCTAGCTATTAGATTAACCCTTGTGTTTCAGGAGCCTTTTGCATCACTATTCAGCTTTAAGTATGAATTGATTTCATTTTAAATGTTGGAGAGTTTATATTCAAATACATGTATGTAATTTAGATCCATCTTTAGTTCAAGAGAAAAAAAAAAAAAAAAGTTAAATTATATGACAGTGTAATTTTCTACTTAATCTGTAGCCTGGATAAAGTAAATCCTTTTGATTAGCAGTATTTCTTGCTTTACAATAATTTAAGTGAACAGGCACTGTGACACAGTGAACACAACACATTATTGACAAGGAAAATGGTCACAGGACAGAAAGTGTTCTACATTTCCTCTTGTGATTAGTAAAGTAAGATGAGCAAACTGCTCTAAACTTCAAAAAAAGGTTCTCTAAGGAAATTATGGATCTCTTTCAACAAGTTATTAGATTACACAGGGAATGTGGTAAAGAATAATTCCCAAAATGTTATAGTCTTAAATAAATTAAAAGTTAAGACCTTACCTTCCAGAAAAGAATACTTTTCAAGAAAGAAATAAGGTTTGGATTAAAATACGTAAATGTTCCTGCTCTGAGGAACCTGCTTTGGCAGGGGGGTTGGACCCGATGATCTTTCAAGGTCCCTTCCAACCCCTACAGTTCTGTGATTCTGTGATTCTTTGGGCTTCAGACTAAAATAAAAAAATAAATGAATAACAAAATGAATTATGACTAGGAACAGACTGTTTACCTAACAGAATATTAGTTCAAAATGCTTCCTTGTACCCTTGTATCCTGCTTTCTTCAGCTGAAATTAAAAGGCTGGGTAAATAAATAAATAAATAAATTATTCTTACAGAGAGCCATGGAGATCTTAGTATGTATTGAATATCTAGCTAAACTAAGTGAAGAGAAATGAAATGAGTTCATTCAAGGACGAGTTCCTATATTTCTGAAATATAACACATGCCAATATGAGTTTTCCTGGAAATTAAAATTTAATAAGACTGGTAGGGATTGCAAACCTTACTTTATAAGTACTCATCATTAGCTTTATTTACTGCTTTAGTTGTAATAAAGCTTAATTCCAGGACCATTGAACTCGGTGGAAGGTTTTGGCTTTGCCTTTTTTGGTGGAACTTGCTTTCCATGCTTGCTTTCCACTTCATTTATTTTTGAAGTTACAGTTTAGTGGAATCACTGTGGTATAGACAGAAAAAAGATCAGTCTATCTTCCCTATGTGGCTAGGATAAACTGAATTTATGCATGATTTAGATTTTCCTAATGTATATTGGAAATAGTTCTACCACAATACCCTGACTATAAAATGCAGGTAGTGCTATTCTAGGGTATTCTATTGCAATAAATCAGAATTAATTTTAATTTTTCATTGCCCATTCCATGTTGCAAAGATATTAATTCTAGAGTATTTTCTTTAGGTTCAAAATGGAAGCATATTCCTTTTTATCAAGAGATTTACTTACATATACACATATTTGAATAATGTTTACTCTGTGTCTATGAAAAGTTTAAGACATTTTATTTCTTATGTCATTTACCCTCTGTATCACTGAAAATTTTGATTTTGCTCATTCGGTACCCCTTCTCAACGAACAAATAAATAAATAAACAAAAGCAATACTTTCAGTGTCATCTGCTTAACTTCAAGTGACCTTTGACAACGGATAATTTTAACATTGGCCTGAATGCTCAGTGAGTAAACTCTTATATTTCGATTTTATAGTGTCACAGAATTTCAGTGCTTCAAACCTAGTAAAACTAAACTATGCTCAGTTAAAGCATTTATCTTTATGGTGGTTCCAGTCGAGTGGGCAGCTGAGCTCCACCACAGCCGCTCTCTCACTCCCCCTCCTCAAGAGGAACGGGGAGAAAATATGATGAAAAGGGCTCAGAGGTTGAGATAAGGACAAGGAGATCACGCAGTAATTATTGTAACGGGCAAAACAGACATAGGGAGATAGTAAGATTTATTGCTTATTACTAACAAGCTAAAGCAGTGAGAAACAAAGGAAAGAAACCAAAAGCACCTTCCCCACCCTCTTCCACCTCCTCCCCCTGAGTGGTGCAGGGGGATGGGGGAATGGGGGTTATGGCAGTCTACAGCGCTTCTTCTCTGCCGCTCCTTCTCGGTCACTCTCGTCCCCTGTGCTGTGGGGTCCCTCCCAAAAGATACAGTCCTTGATGAACTGATCCGGCGTGGGCTTCCCACAGGCAGCACTTCTTCCAGAACTGCTCCAGATATGGGTCCATACCATGGGGTCCATCCCTCAGGAGAAAACTGCTCCAACCTGTCTCCCCCATGGGCAGCAGCTCCTGCCAGGTCACCTGCTCCTGCGTGATCTCCTCTCCACGGGCTACAGGTCCGGCCCAGAATCTGCTCCGGCAGGGGTCTTCCACAGGCCACAGCCTCCGTCGGTGCAGGGCCACTTGCTCCACCGTGGTCTCCTCCATGGGCTGCAGCATGGAACCCTGCTCCACCGTGGTACTCCATGGGCTGCAGGGGGACATCCTGCTTCACCATGGTCCTCACCACAGGCCACAGAGGACTTCTGCTCTGGTGCCTGGAGCACCTCTCCCACTCCTTCTTCACTGACCTTGGCACCTGCAAGGTTCCTCACTCCTCTCACTCTCCCAGCTGCTGTGTGTGGTGCAGCGTTTTCTTTCCTGTCTTAAATATGCTCTCACAGAGGCTCAAAACAACATCGCTTATTGGCTCGGCTCTGGTCAGCAGTGGGGCCCTTACGAAACATGGGGCAGCTTCTAAATCCTTCTCACAGAAGCCACCCCTATGGCCCCCTGCTACCAAAATCTTGCCACATAAACCCACTACAATCCTTTTCATTCTTTTTTTTTTTCACCAGTCCTCCAAACACATTCTTCTTATGTCCCCTTAAGAGGAATATTTAACTATGAATTCTGTTCTTCATGGAAGACTTCATGGAAGTTTGATTTGATTTGCACACTTGAATATATGTTGTCATTGAACCCTGAATTTAGACTTCAGGAGTAGCTGGTGTTGTGTCCAATGTGTTTTCTTCCACTATGTCAAGAAACATTTGGTGATGTTAATGCTCTTTATAATAAACCAGTATGCAGCTGGAAAGGAGGTTATAAAAAATAGAATTGCCTGCTTTTAATTCATCATGCATTTAATAACATCTCATAACTTTCAGAACAGCATGAAATTTGCACTCTAACACTCTCACTGCTAAATAACTCATTACCTGCTATCTGACATTTGACCTCAGAATTGTTGGGTCAGAACAACTTAAGAATTGTTGGTTCAGAAGAGCTCAAATCTTAATCTGAGACTGGTGTTAAAAACTATATCTTGCACATGGTAATTATTGTTTCTTATTGCCTGAAGTTACTGGTCATTTATGAAGCCAAAGGAAATTGCAGATTGCAAAGCCCATCATATTTTCCTCAGGTTAGTGTCCTGCCCTCTAAAAGAACATAGATTCAGTAGACTGAACCTTTAGACACTTCTTTTCTAAGGAAGATCATTTTCACTGATCAAGTTATAATTTGATTAATTTGTTACCCTATTTGAATCAGTTCTATACTAAGTTTGAGTGCAGAGATTTCAGAATAATTTAAATGTTAATACATTTTGAGAATCAGGCTCAATATTTTGAAATAATTTTCAACTATTTATTTTTAAGAAAACCCATTATAAAAAGGGCAATTACAACTGAATGATTTATTATTTTGTAAAATGATGTCATAAGGAGTAAGGCTCTTTAGAATTCTAAAAACTCAATTTCAAAAGATAATTCTTTGAGATTAAGGAAAGAAGCAGAACAGCACCATAAAGTCAGATATACTATTGTATCAATTAATTTCACAAAAACTGGGCATTATATAGCCAATAATATTTTGTGATACAAGCTAGAATTAAGTATAGTAATTTCCTAATTTCTCCTGTTTACATCAACATCTCCTTTGGAAGCAAAAAGACAATTGCAACAAGACTTTGTAGTGTTTTTGCATGGACAAACTAGGCTGCCAATTTATTGCCCCTGATAATCTACTGTCAAAGCATGAGCTTATTTTGTCTGCACAATCAAAAGTGTGTAAACTGTGCATGATTCAGCTCAGAGTGGAAAATGGTTAGAAATTTTTGGCCATCAGAATTGAGATTTAAGTGTTTGCTAAAGAACTATATTAAACAATAACAAAGTATTTTGTACACACAGTAAGTTTTCTAATGCCTTTTTTCCAA